TCAGGGCGTGGGGCAGAGCTGGCCAAAGCCCCAGCCCCAAGAGTGCTTGTTCCGTGCCCCCCAGATCTCTGCGCACAGGGCAGCTCCCCTGGAACACACCGTCCTCCCGCACAAACGATGGCTTCTTTGCAGTGTTCAGCCAAGGAGACAAGGGCACCTCGTGGTACATCATCTGGAAGGGCTCAGTGAACGTGGTGACCCATGGCAAGGTAGGTGCTGCCCTGCCCCCCATGCTACCGTGCCCCTGCAGGTGCCTGGCTCCCACCACTGGGACTCAACTGGACCTCCAGGCTCTGCCCCTGCAGGTCCACTGGGCCAAGGGTGACCAGTGAGCGTGAAAAACTGGGATGGGGTGAGTAGAGTTGCCTTTGTAAGACAAAGGCCCAGTATTGGGACAGCTGGTCACCCTAACTCGGCCCCACTACCGGGACAGAACCAGGACCTCCAGGCCCCGTCCCTTGAGGGAACTCAATGGAGGCGGGAGCTGAAGGGCCTGGCCCCTTGGGCCAGCCTGGTGCTCCCCCAGATCCCAGCACCTCCCAGGCTTCCTGCCCCCAGCAGGTGGGTGATGGTGGGGAGTCTCTGGTTTCTCCCCCAGGGCCTGGTGACCACCCTGCACGAGGGGGATGACTTTGGGCAGCTCGATGCTCCCCGAGCTGCCACCATCATCCTGCGGGAGGACAACTGCCATTTCCTGCGCGTGGACCCAGCTGTCTGACTCGGAAGTGACTCGGCCAGTGCTGTGAGCGGGGAGGGATGTCTGGGCCCCAGGAGTCCTTCGTTAACTCCGAGAGCAGAAGTTACAGCAAAGTCGAGGGTCAGGCCAGAACTGAGCCCTTGATAGAGCCAGGCCGGCGCTACTCCCCTCCAGCAACTGGCCCCTCCTCGGGCCTTTCCTCCTGTTCCCGGGCAGATATCGCCTGGCCTCCCCGTCCTCACCGGGCGGGATCTGCTGTCCACAGCCCTGAGATGCTGGGCACCCACTGTCCAGGCAACTGGAGTGGCCATTGTCTTCCCCGCCCACGCCCCAGGCAGTCCCAGCTGGATCTCCCCCGC